AAGGACTGTAGATCGGCCTAGGTCCAAATATAGGTATCCGGGCCTTATAATATTGAAAGATAATCGCTAGAATATCTTTTATTATTTACTCACGTATTTTCTCTCCTCATTACCAGATATCCTCCATTCCCCAAGTCCCTCTTTCTTTTATAGGCACTCCCCATCCATTATCCTCTTCAATAATGGCAGTGATTGGGGGAATATTCGTGCCAGCCTTCCTCCATCTGGGGGAATGTATCTCAGCTTGAGGCCGTCCACTGGAGGACTTGTCCGTCCATCTCTTGCTCCCTGTCCGTCCCTTTCCCCTTGTCCTTGTCCCTTCAATTAGGGGGGACTGCTCTAGACTCTTCCATACGATTTCTTTCCTTTGGGGTAGCTTATTCTTAGTGGGCTGGGCTTCAGCCCATTCTTAAGCCCCCAATCCTTTTCCTTTTTCCTATCTTTCCTCACGGATAACTTCCCTTGACTGGCCCAATATATTTTCTCTGGGTTGGACACTCCTTTTGATGGACGGAATCTAAATTGGGCCTGGGCCCAATTCGCTAGTATTCTCTCGATGGGCTTGGTTCCCATCAGTTATAAAATCTTAGTGCGATCGCAAAATTTTACAATGACATTTTATGTCAAGGTAAGTTATCAATCTCGGACTTATATTAACACAAAATATTAGTGTAAACCTTTGGAAAAATATTTTGAGATACAATCTTTAAGGTACACGTAGATTTATTCTTTTGAAAAATGCGATAACATAATTGTAAATGAGATGAAAATCTCAATATAATGATTAGTCCATCCGTTCCTATTTTGATTACAAAATGGGAATTACGACGTAAAATCTTACGATTTTTGAAATCATTTTATTTATAAATTGGTACATAAATAAGAAATAAAAATTATATGTTAACAAACTACACCAAAAATTCTACAAAATAAGACGTGATAAGAATATTTTATTTTATCAAATAATCAATGAAAACACACAAATAAATAAAAATTATTGAGAAGAAAGAGAAAAATAATATTGTAATCAAAATGGAGACGAAGGGAGTAGTAATTAATATGAACCAGAATGAATAAATAAATTACTCTCATTTCTCAATTCTCACAAATCTAAAATGATTTTCTAAGCTAAGAGCAAAATAGTAATAATAATTAAAGGGTGAAAATTAAAAACAATGTAGGCCTGCTCTTGAGAAATGCTCCTTGTATTTAGATCTAATTTTCCTATTTGATTTTTTTTTGTCAAAATTAGTAAACTTTGATTTTGATATGATATGCAAAAAATAAATGTTTTAATATAAATATAATATTAATGGTTTGAACTTCTCTTTTTGTCTTGAGTGGTAGAAAGTCACTCCTCAAGATTCATTGAGAAGTTTACCTAAATTCGAGTCTCAATGTAGGCTTTGAATTGCATTGGGTCATTGTGTGTCATTTTCTTGTAAAACAAGGAGTGCAAATGAGGCTTCACATTGGGCGTTGCACAGTTAGCAAGATATGGAGTACCAAGAAGGTAACAACCGAGTTTTATTTTTTGCAACTGCACTGGAGGCAACTATGCTAAGCACGAAGCCTTTGCAAGTACCAGGTGCAAACTTCATTTTTGCATCCAATCTATGAAAAAAGTCTAATTTACCACCTCTCAGTCTTGTCGGGTTTGAGAGGGCAAGCAGGAATGTGGCTCATCCTTTCCTTTTTTTGTTGACTATTTAATAAAATAAAATAATAATGTCGCTATTTGTTTGGTTAAACTTCTAAAATACTTTTAAATAATAAATTATATTTATTAATTTTACACCGAACTTTATATGTAACTTTTGTTGAACATCGTATTCTAAAGCTGGAACATTATTATAAAAGAGTTGGAGTACTATTTTATTTTTTCGTAAATTAAGGTGTCTCCGGTAAAAATATAATGTATTCCTGCTAAAAAGAGTGTGCTTGTTCAAAAAAATTACTCCAAATGTAGTATTTATACATACATTTAGATAAGTCGATCCACAAAGCATAGCTTTAAAGTCCTAAACATTAGCCGCATGTGGGTTGACTCGCTGAGTTTTATCTTTCCCATAAGGAAAATGCTAGGGTGCCACCACATTGGTGCTACCATGGGTGCACACATGCTTCGCACAGACAAACACAGACGATAATTGTCTGTGTCGCACAGACAATTATCGTGTGCGAAGCATGGGTGCACCCATGGTAGCACCCATGTGGTGGCACCCTAGCATGGTCCTTCCCATAAACATATCATCAGCCCACTCTAAAGAACTGAGCCATTGACTTTACACACACAGAGAGAGAATGAGAGAGAATACAAAGCAACCAATCTCTAGTGCATACTAACAGTAGTGTTTATAGTTATGCATTGATTGTGTTTTTAAATAGCTGGGCATTCATTTCAATGCAAGGAGTGTATAATTTAATTAAGCTGTTTTCACCATCCATATCCACTCATCAGATGCAATATATTGTAAACTTCTTAACACCAAATATATGAATATGTTATTTTTATTACCTGCTTAGAAACTGCATTTCTATCCGTTACAAGGGTGCAAAGTAAAACACATTTAAGAAGATAATACAGCACCAACTTATTATACAGCAGCACTATATACATACATACATATAGATAAATCTACAACTCAGCTGCAATCAATAGTCACAAGTCATAACCAAGATGGGAGAGGGAGTGCCAGGATTATTAATACCTGTACGTGTGTGGTCCGATACGATCATCATGAGGGGAGAAGCGCATAGAAGGAGAAAACATGTTTTCCCAGACAGGAACAGTAGCAGAGAGTCGACTTGGAGAAAATAGAGTGTGGTTATTAGGAAATGTATGGCCCGTGGTTGGCCGAGGATCAAGAGAGTTCAATAATCTTGCGGGAGAGGAGGGTATATTGGGAAATGGCTCCAACATTGGCAGCCTCCATGCATCTGTGCGTCTAGTCTCCGAGAAATGCTCGTGGGAGAATATATCAGAAGCAGTTTCAGGGGTATGTTTGGCCACGCTGAATAATGGTGGACAAGAATAGCCTGTTCTTGGAGGTGTTGACTCAAAGTTTATGTCTGTTGGTAATCTGAAAAGACCAACAGGCCTGCCGCCCTGTATCTGTGAGGTACTGTTGAGTTCCTCTCTCAGTGAGAATTTTGCTTGTTCAAGTGCTTCGAGGACATTTCTGACATTTTTGTTCGTCTCGGGTAAAACCAAAGCAAGTTCGCCCTTTCTTCCTGAAGTGTTGTCGGGCTTTTGCAAAGTATAAGAGGATGGAGTCTGCTCTGAGGGGTTATTTTCCTTGGGCATGGTGGGAAAAGCAAATTCTGGTGAGGATGATTGGGAAACAATTTTGTCGCAGTTTGTGTTTAGCAGTGACGCCGGGGACAGAGAATCTTCATCATCTACTCTCCCATGGTCTTGAAGGTCTTGAGAACAAATGGTGACCTTAGCAGACTGATCATTAGATACTGCTCTGATGTTGTCTCTTCCTTCGGTCACATCTGAATGGTTTCCCAGATCGTGTGAAGAATCCTGTAGTGTCCCACACAGACAACGTTATTATTCTCTAGGCTCTAGCACAATGTGTTCTCAAGACAGTACTAAACCATCTGCCACATATAAACAAGACTACTGAAACCCAGGGAAAGAAAGGATCGTGAATCATGATGCATTTTGAAAGGGTAGACCATTGTAGCACTTTGAAAATTGAGAAGGCTTACTAAACTATGAGAATGTCTGATTCTTTTTTTTTTCAAGGAGAACCTAAGTTGACATATATAGTCTGTTGGATTTCAGTTTGCTAAAACTTTTTACTCGTAATCTATTTTCCAAGTGTCCATTTACTAAAGCCAGTTATTTAGATGATACCGGAGAACAAAAAGTCAAAAATAGATTAAAACTTTCTCCAGTCAATTCGAAAAGCTAAACGAAACTATAAAACTCTGATGGGTGAAAGAGACTTTCAGTCGTATTCTAAATAGGCTTTCAAAATCGTCTTTTGTTAAATCAAACAGCTTCTCAGATGTGAATAGTGCTTTGGATGTTGAATCCAGACATGCACTATTGAATGCTGACTTTGTCTTACATCCCCACTCCTGCAGATCCTTCTAAGGCTGAAGATTCGTATAAAAAATTCCCCAATAAGGAAAAATGCACTTTCATCCTTCACATCTTCACCTTAATCCCAACTATGTTAATGTGAAATGCACGAGCTTTACAGTTTATAGTGTCGAATAATTTTCTAAAGTTAGTTAAAACTATAAACTGATGCAAAAAGGTATCCTTCACATTCAACAAGATGTCAATCCAGATTTTTGTAGCCGAAGTGTCTACTAATTTTCTAATATTAGACAGCATGATTCATTAATGCAATAAGGTAATCTTACCGGCACAAAGTTGGAATCCTCTGTGTATTTTTCTTCCCATTCTCTCTGTAATCTCTCCTCAGCTTCATATTGACCTATAAGTTCTGATTGATGCTGCAAAGCTTTTTCCATATCTTTGTCATCTTCATGTGTGTGGTTACTTACGTTGCCATTATCTTCTTGGTTTTCATTTTCAAGTATTTGAAAAGCAGGGAATTCTGATTGGTTATTGTCAGCATGGCATGTAAGGTCACCTCTTGGTGACTCAGTACCAGAGCGAGTCACTCCATGAAGATTTTGAGCATGTGTAATTCCTGAATTATCCCGAGTAGCTTGCATAGTTGTCTCGTTGTGTGACTCCTCAACATCTGATCTGAGAATACAAGACAGCTAATATTTAAATATTTTTGAAAGCACAACAAAATCTTTTAAGTTAGCTACACTAGAATGCTAGAGCTTTGCATAATGTTCGACAAGAAAAATATGAGGAAGTAAAATTGGAGACTGAAATACTTCATCTTACTCTGCCCAAAAGAGAATTTCAGACTTTGACTTCACAGAGTTTAACAAAGTTTTGAAAAGTGAAAAATGTTTATAGGGTAGAGAAAAAGGAATAAATAAATTTGGGACAGAGGGAGACGAAAAAGGAAAGTGGGAAATTCCTTTTGGGACAGCTGAAGCATTTGGGAAAGAAGGGGATATAAAGATGTAAAAGAAAATATATCTTATTCTCCATCCAACTCTTCCATCCAAAATGGAAGGGAAATTCACCATTCATTATTAAACTTACAATTTTATCCTACTTTTAAATCTTAAAAATTTATTGTATGTTATGAAGATTCAAATAGTAAAGTTATAACATTAACTTCGTTTCCCTCTAAAATAAATAATTCTCTGAAAATGAAAAAAAAAGAGTAATTCCCAGAAAATTCCTCTCCTCAGAAAATTTCCAAATATAGTATTAGTGCAATATGCTTATAGGAAATTATAATTAAAAAGAAGGAATAAAAAAGAAACTGACATTGTTTCTCTGCGTCTTATCCGGCGACATGATTTAGCAACTTTGGATGAAGAAGCAGTTGATGCAGAGCTACTAGACCTTCTAGAAGAATCCATGTATTTCTTCCGAGACAAAGAATGCGGAGTTGACCTATCACTTTTCCATGACAAGTTTCTACCAAAAGGTAGAGAAGAGTCAACCTCAGAGCTTGAGTAGGCCTCTCCACTAATACCTCTCATCTCCATATTTCTTTTCACTGAAGCTTCTTCTTCATTGCACTCATCTTTACAATCGGATACATTTGATTCACACAAAGCAGTACCCTGGTCAGACACAGAGTCGAAGTCATCCGAAGCATCACCCACACCATGGTTCTCTAAAATGGCCAGGACAGTTTCTGTGGCCTTTTCAGCCTTCTTTCTTTGAAGAGAGACAATCTTAAGCTGTTTCTCCAGTTCTGTAACCTTTATACATATTACAGACAGATGTATGGATGTTATGGTTAAAATAAACTAACTTATTAAGAATATGTAAAAGGTATTATAATATTAAAGCTCTGTTTGTTTAAAGAAAAGTATATTCCTGGAACATAATTACAGATTTTCTTAGCAAAGGAACACATTTACTTTTCCAGTTTTCAGCATTGAAAATAACTTCCAGTTACAATTTTATCAAATGTTATATACTTATATTTTTGATACAAAAAACTTATTTTCCAAGAAAACATTTCCCCATACACCATTTTCTACAAGTTATTCCTAAATGACAAAACACATCATGCAAATTTTTATCCTGATGGAGATGCACACATTTTGCAAGAAAATGAAACATGAGTTACCCGCTTGGCCAGTTCATCAGCTCTCTGTTTTGCTGTACGTGAGATCGATCTTTCAGATAATAACCGTGCCCGGAGAAATTCAACCGTCTTTGAAGATGAATCTTCCATGGCTGGAGTATTCCTGATCAAAATGTTTTCCACAACCTCAGGAGAAATAGCATCCCATTTGATGAGGTCAAACAAAAAATATACCATCAATATGTATCACCTAGATTTTGAAGTCCAGTCAACTGGTGAAACCATTTAAACATGAATTATTTGATCATGTGAATCGCAATAATGAAATGAGAAGGCTTTTCTTCTACATTGCACTCTCAGAAAAATAAAATACAACCACCAACCTTGGATTCATCTTTGTGGTATCCTCTTGTTTTGCAATTTTGTAGTTTTTTTTAAATCTTATTATACTCCCATTGTTTCAATTTATCATGCATGTTTTCCTTTTATGGTTTATCCCAATTTATCATGCATTTCTATTTACGGAAAGTATTGTATGGTCTACACTGTCGCTCCTTCCATATTATAAATCTCAATTTCACAGTTCTCACCTCTCTAATCTCAGCACCCAGTCAAAGTAGATGCAGTAAAATGAGAGGGAATGCGTATTATTGAAGAGATTAATAACTTTTTTTTTAATTTAAAAATGACTGAAGAGCTTTCCAACATTAGGTAAGTTTTCAAATGAGTGACAGCAAAGGATTGTCTCATAATGATGGATAGTTTAGACTGGCAAATCTAAATTCACTTAATGTAGTACTGCCGATTTTGAGAAATGAACGAAAATGACACATATAACCTAGATTTAGATATTGTTTTAAGAAAATATTAATATTTATTACGTTATGCTATTTTGTGATGAATCAAAAACTTGATAAATTTCTGCTACAACTGAAGCCATTCCAGCCAGCTTCATATAAACTAAACGAGTTTCAAAATTGGATGTGGACGATATTTGATTTTTATGGAAAAGCATGGATTTCTAAAAGAACACAATCTTTATCACTCAAGCATGACTCTATACTCCCAAAATCATTGAGCAATGATGAAAATTTAAAAGTCATGCTTCTTAATTTCTTCAATTCAAAGCAATAAAAAGAAGAAAGATGGGAGATTATTCAGATCATCAAACAATAACTTACTACCCAAACTTCAAATTGATCAGGATAAGATGCTCAGAAAGTTAAAAAAAACGAAATTGGGAGCGAGATGAGGAAGATGGTTGATTGATTACCCCGAATTTAGGTCTTCAATCTCTGAAGTAGACAATTTTTATTTCAAATCATAGCTTAACGCTCAGCTGTCAAGAGACAAATCCAAATGCAGACAATGATAACAAAGACCCTGATCAGGATCTCCAGTCAAAGAAATTAAACCCAACTATAATTGAACGAGAGGAAGAGAAGGCGGGGATTTGATATGAGCACTGCGTGTAGATACAGAGAACGATAATAATAATAACAATAGGGAGTATGAAGTAGAATGGCTGACTTTAGTTGAAGATCCTCCTGCGGAATTTCCCCTTTTCAACTTTCTCATGGCGTTGCTTGGATTGACTCTAGTTGGAAACCGCAATCTTGGTATTTGAGTCCACCCAAGAGGAAAAAGGGGAAAGGGAGAAAGATGGGGAAAAGGAAAAAGGGCATTGGTTTTAGCTTTAGCCTTTTCACAAAAAAAAAATCATTAAAATTCAATTCGAAATGTTAATGTTGATCGAAAATATTATTTCCAAACAATACCCAAATCGCTAGGGGCTCTTCACTGTCAATATTCATCAAACGAGTTTATTACACTAACACCCGATGTGGTTTAGTAAATGTGCACCGTTAGCTCATGCTTTCAAAACATATACTGTTACCCCTCATTGTTCTAATATTGTTTCGTCAATGCCCCTCTGAATAAGAATATCTTTCAAATATTAGGTGAATAACTCTGTTGCCCCCTATAGTTTTTGAAATGGGCGCCAACGCCCCTTCTCATTTTTCTTTACTGTTTTTCTTTTTTCTATTCTTTTTTTCATAAATACAAGAAAAATGTTTGTGTGAAATAATAATTTTTTTTCAAACCTACATTTTTAAAAAAAATGTTTGTGTAAGAAATAAAAATTTTAACTTATACTTTATTTGTCAAATTAGATATTTTCATTTTTTGTCTAGAAAAGTTTTAATCTTTTTGAATATGTCTGGACCAAAAAATACAGAGTAAGGTCTATTTAATATATACTTTATTATATATTAATAACATTTTTTGGACCAACGCGCAAAAGATTTCCTTCATGACTTAATTTTCTTTGTTCTAAAAAAGTATTTTTTAATATGCTTTTCTTTTTCTTTATTTTCTTTTCTATACTTTTTCTTTTATTTTAATTTTTATTATAATAAAAGAAATGATATAAAATTAATGAACATAAAATGAGGAATGAGCTTTAGTAAACAAAAGGAAATATTTCATTGATTTTCGTATCATGAAAATGAACCAATAAAGATATACTTTGGACAAAAAAATTTTTAATTCGAGACAAATGAAGTCTATGTTAATTCTTGTTATTTAATTTGAAAATATTTCATTGATTTTCGTATCATGAAAATGAACCAATAAAATATACTTTGGACAAAAAATAAAAATGTTTAATTTGAGACAAATGAAGTGTATGTTAATTCTTGTTATTTAATTGGTTTTTATTGCAAACACACAAAAAATTGATTAGTAAAACATTATAAAAAAATAAAAAAGAATTATGAAAAAATAGTAGAAAAGAGAAAAATAATAAAGAAAAGAGGGAGTGTGTACTAATTTTCAAAACTATATAGGACAGTGGACTTATTCATGTAATATTTGAAGAATATTTTAGTATAGAGGGGCATTTACGTAGTAATATTAGAATCATGAGAAACAACGGTGTAAGTTTTGAAATCATAAAGGTAACTGTGCATTTTTACCAAATTACAGGGGGTCATGATGCAATACTCTTCATCAAACATTCTTCGTTTACTCTATAATTTATTTTATTAACACTATGAGATTGAGACTCTCTTCCTCATGCTTGATCTAACGGAATATGATTAGATTTAATATGATCTTATTAGATTAGATTTGTTTTAATCCGGTGTAATTGAATTTAAATTTAATTCAAATTGAACTTGAAATTATTACAATAATTTAATAATTTTAAAATATATTATAATGATCATTCATATAATTTTAAACTAATTTGTCAACATATAATACAATCAATAACCTTATTTTAGAATTAGTAGCTTAATGAAACAAAAATAACATTTCATATATAGATTGAAGAAGTAAAATAAAAAATCATTCAGAATAACTAATCATTGATAAATTTAACATTTATTATGTAATACTTGTATTTAATATTTTTCCAATAATCATAATACTCCATCCGTCCTATGATGATTATGATGATGATAATACTCCATCCGCCCTGAAATTATAATAATAAGGATGTCAATATTAATATTAATCATATTTTAAAATCATAATACTCTGTATTATTTAAGGTGTACGCAAATTTAAATAAAGTGGTGCGATTTAATTTAAAATTAATTATTATTTAATGATTGACAAAAAATATTAATATTATTTTTGATATTTTTTTATTTTTATCTGATATGATCTGATATGATTAAATTTAATTTGATCTGATTGGATCTGATAAAATCTGATTCGAATTATTTAGTCTGATGAGATATGATCTAACTTGAATGAATCTCATATGAGTACATCTAATCTAGTTTTAATAAAAAAGTCATAAACAGAACAAATAAATTGTAGGCAATGGACCCTGAATGGTGTTGACCATCATCATGTTATCCGGCCCTTCCCGCAAATTCAACGTTAGAGCATCAACAATGGCAAGGTGAAAATGAAATGTCACACGTTGACATGGAACATTTTAACTAATCAAAAATAATTCAGTCAGCGTGTGACAAGTAAATGGAGTGACAAGTCCTACAATGGCAAGTCATTATTTTTTATCACTTTTTTAAATTTTTTTATGTTTTTTAAACATAAAAAAATATTTTTATTATTTATTTTATTAAAAAATTATTTACATTTTTTTCATAAAAAATTTAAAAAAAATTATTTTTTAAAAAAAGAAAAAAAGTAGTATGAAGTGTCACACTCATGTTTTACCAAGCAAGGCAATTTTGGCATTGTCATGCAATAATATGAGTGGAAGAAGCTAATGCTCTTATATCAACTTTTTTGCTTTTCTATCATCTCATTTCTTTGCAAGTCAGCACTAACGTGCCTTGCATCCCTCCACCTCATCGTACCCATCGCCCTTCATGATAGCCACGTGTACATTCTATTCCATTTCGTCATCACACCCTTCCAATTCATACATACCCATCATATATCAATGCAACACACACACATATATACATGCACAAGTGGCACAACACACTGCAAATTTGCAATCTATTGATGTTTATATATATTACTAAAAAAAAAAATCAAAGTTAGAGAAATGGATACAAGGCAGAGAAGCATAAGGGTGTTGATGTTTCCATGGCTAGCCCATGGTCACATATGCCCATTTCTAGTGCTAGCCCAAGCACTTGCCACAAGAAACTTCATCATCTACATATGTTCCACCCCCATCAACCTCAACTCCATCAAGAAGAGGCTCACAGACAAAGACTCCATAGCCATAAAGCTTGTGGAGCTCCATCTCCCCTCCCTCCCCAATCTCCCCCCTCACCTCCACACCACCAACGGCCTCCCGCCCTGCCTCATGCCCACTCTCAAGCGCGCCATGGACATGGCCAAACCCGGCTTCTTCACCCTCCTCCGCACCCTCAAACCCGACCTGGTCCTCTACGATTTCCTCCAGCCGTGGGTCCCCACGATGGCTCGCGGGGAGGATGTCCCTGCGGTCCTCTTCCTCAGCCCCGGGGCTGCCTCCTCCTCGTACCTGTTTCACGTCGGGAGGGGCCACCCCGTGGATGAGTACCCCTTCACGGAGATGTATCTCCGGGATCACGAGTACAGGAGGAACATGTGTATATTCGAGCAGCCGGCGGAGGACTCAGAGGACGGGACCCGGATTAGCGACACAGAGCGGGTGGACGGGTGTTTGGAAGGATCGTCGGGGATCATTCTCATCAAGACGTTCAGGGAGCTTGAGGGGAAGTACATTGACTACCTGAGCGATTTGGTCGGCAAACGGTGCGTCCCGGTGGGGCCGCTCGTACGGTCCACGGCGGCGGAGGGAGAGCACGAGGAGATCAAGGAGTGGCTGGACGGGAAGCAGCGGTGCTCGACGGTGTTTGTCTCTTTCGGGAGCGAGTACTTCCTGACGGAGGCGGAGATGGAGGAGGTGGCGCTAGGGCTGGAGCTCAGCCGGGTCAATTTCCTGTGGGTAGTTAGGTTCCCGAGCGGTGGGGGCGCGTGGGAGGAAACGCGGGCGATCGACGACGCGCTCCCTAACGGAT